CTCCCTAAAAAATTAATTAACAATAGTTTTTTTTATATATTACCAATGTCAAATAGCTTTCATATCTTTGTCTCGCACGAATATGATATTAGTGAAATTCCTCATACCTACCTAAAATTCAAGTAACAGTCTTCTATTATATTGATAAATACTGTATCACCATGTAACGCGTGTATAACAAACAAAAATCCTGACTTTGGTTTTTTTTTTAATTCATCCCATTTTTTTCATTCCAGAGTGTGTTCTACTTTCAGTATTGAAAGAAACCATTTTTTTTTAATTTGACATGAAAAATATGCATGTAATATTACTATATCATAATATAAGTCCCTTTTGTTACTATTTGTATATTTGTTACAATTATAACAGACTTTGATATTTCTATCATCTTCTGTTACTGACTACAGTAGTGACACAAACAGAACACAGCACAGTCATGTCACATAACATTTACAAGTCTTGTTTGTATTCAATGGAATTACTTTTCTAACCAGGTAGGCATCAGTGAAAGAATTTTATATTAAAAAATTTTCCCCTCTTTTTTAATAATGGACATTGCATAAGATAAGTATAATTATGCAAAAAATTGGTTTACAAAACATTCAGAAAAAATCTACAATAGTACTTAATCTGAATATAACATAACCTGTGCGTAGGAATAATTTGGTAAGGTATCTGTAATGAGCACATTTTTTGCGCGGAGCTTCTCAATTGCTGCATTGCAGCAACATTTGTACTTGTAACATATTAGATTTGTCCTTCTATGTATATTGATTTATATACAGAAATGCAAAATTTCAAATGTATGTATGCCAATGTAGTGATGAAGATTGTTGATGCAGAAATCATACCATTGCTTTTGATTTAAGTTTTGTGCAGTATGACAAACTATTGTTGAGAAGTAAATATTCAATACATGATTATAATAATGTCAACTTATTCAATCGTTTATGTTTTATGACATATGCAAAGTGAAAACTGTTTTTATATTTTGTTTATGTGTGGTGATTAAAATCCAATGCTTACGAATGTTGCTTACTACAATTTTAGAAAATGTTACCTTTCCTTTTGAGACAATAGAGACAGTGTTGTATGTTAGAAAATGGCAAACGTTTTCTATTAATTATAATATATTCATTGAATTATGTTAAATCGAATAAAACATTCATTCTAGCCTTATTCACGAATAACAACAAATCCCGGAGAAATACTCTTCTTAAAAAGGTAAAGGTGGGGGGAAATCCCGGAATCGGGGACAACCGGGATTGTATTAAAAGCAATAAAACATATTTGTGATGTTTGTCGTAATTAAAGGAAAAAACACAACGTTAAATGCTTTTGATTATGCCGTATGTACATACGGGTACATACGGGTATCTTTATACTTAAGATTGAAACACATTAATAGCTTACAGTATTAAAGTTAACATAAAATGCGGAATTCACCATACAAAGATCTATGCCTAAATGTAAAAATCAAAGTTTTTGTAATACACAATTAAGCTTAACTTTATGGGTTTTATGTATTTTATTATTAATATAATTAGAAAGATTATTAAAAACAATTAACATAAATTAATAAAAAAAAACAACAACCCATAGACAACTATTCCATTTTTTCCTGTTTAATGTGTCTTGTATTGCATGTATTTTTGTCTGTTCGTTTATTCCGTGTCTTGTCGTCTGTTCCATTGCCGTCTGTTCCATTAAGTGTCTTGTTGAATGCTTTTTAAGTCTTGCTATCTGCTTTTGTATGCTCCGTTACGTCTCTTGCTGTCTATTAGGTTACATCATTTTATCCGCCTTAGTCATTGTACTCGTGGAAAAGCGGGATTATGTTTCTCATTGTATTTTCTATTGTGTTTGGACTATTAAGTTTTTATTGCCTATTCTAGTTTTTCTTGTCTGCTTATAGCAATTATGTTGTTGTCTGTTCCGTAAAGTCTCTTGTCTTGTACTGTTGTCATGTGCATTACTCTTTCAATTCTTGTTTGTTCTGTTAAGGATTTTGCTTCATTACGTTTTTGTTGTTCTATGTTCGTTCAGTCTTTTGATGTTTGTATTTGTAAACATATTCAGTTGTTGCGTTTACCGTTAGCTCTTCTATTTCGGTCCTCGTTTACTGTTCCGTTCCGGTCTTCTCCTGTCTGTATCGTTGTGGTACGTGTGTCTTTTTCAATTAAATCGCCTGTTTAGTTCTCTTCGAGTATTGTTGCCTGCTTGAAGATTGATCCGTTAGGTATTGATTGTTACAAGTGACGTCTCTTATGAATGCTTTTATTTGCTGTCTGTTCTGTCATGACTTTTAGGGATCTTTTCCGTTAGGTCATTTGAATTGAGTATTGGTCAGTTAATGCTATATATTTATGTTTTTAACCGTTTAGTCTCAGTCTGATAGTATGTTCTATTCGTTTAGTCGATAGAGTTCTATGTTCTGGTTTTGTTAGTCTCGTAGTCATTTCGTTCTTTTAGTGAAGTAGCGGGGGATCGAACTCACGACCCCTTTATTAGTAGGCAGACAGTTTTAACAATGCACCATAGCGCCTGCTCTGGAAAACAACTGTATTTGAAAGTCCTTTATACATTATTACTTTAATGGCGTACAGAAAACGTATTGTAATTCAATTCTAACACATCTACTTTGGTAGCCAACCCACGTGACTTTTTATATATCGTCGTCAAAGAGAATATCACTCGATTTAACAAGTATTTATAGTGATGTAATGAATATTTTAATTCAAAACTTATTGACTGCTCTTGTAAGGTGAAGTGAAGGATACACTTCCATTATTTGTTACCTGTTAATGTAATATATATGAAATAAAGAAGATAACTCTTGCCAACTTTGCGTTTTGAATGAAGAAAAGTTGGTTATCTTTGGTATCAAATACATATCAAACATTTACAGTAACTACAATATAACACAGTTTTGCCATGAAAGAATTACACTAGTGATCATTTTATTTAAAATATCTAATAACTCAATTCAAACTGATTATAAGAAAGAAAGTGTTAAAACTGTTATACAGATAATGACAAAAAGAAAAACTTAAATTACGGAATAAAAGAAAACGTTAAAAAGATTGATACAAAAAGCTAAAACAAAAATAATTCATACTGCCTTTTAAGTTATACAATAGGTATTAAATTTTGTGTTTAAAAATATATAAAGGCGAGTTTTGGTCTGATTGAAAATAAGTCGCAGACACTTTTTATGTTCAACAGAACAAACTTATCTTTTTTTAACACAGAAATAAATCATTTCAGTCAATTGAGCATCTATTTTATTTTGTTTTATATCAAAGAGTCCAGCGAGGGGCACCTGAGATCTTCTTCTAAAAATAAATCTACAAAACTATACAATATGAAATATCGAAGTATCTGTGTGATGCACATATCTTGCACTTTATAAATGATCGACTTTTCGATGCCAAAGAACAGACAGAGTAAAGTAAATGTGTGTTTTTTCCACTTTTTATATAATGAGAATTTATCTAACATTAAGCGTTACAAATGTCAACATTCTTGACAAATCCAGCATCACATTCTCCTAGCATCATATAGTGAGTTACTTATTCTGTTTCATTCTTGTTTGCCCGTTTTACACGTTTTATCGCTAACAGCGTTTTAGTAATAGCCACTCGAGTCTAATTCAAAAGACGGCAACTTTTATAATATAAATGCACCGTGATAACATGAAGAAACGTCATCTCATTACAAATGGTTGCTTTGATTTTCAAAAGACTAGTGAATATACCTCACTTTTAGTTCAATATTTAAAAAAGAAGACAAGTTATATATGAATTCCCATAATGAATAGTCTATTTGGGTGTAATTGGATACGTTTAATTTTTCTTTAAGTAACATAAACTTGAAATCGTAAATTTTGTTGTTTGTACTTTTATAAAAGAAGGCATTTTAGATTGAGAAGTAGTCTATCAGTGTGACTTATTTGTGCATTTTATTTTCAAATGTCTTTAAGACCACCTCCTCTTTAAAGGACTGTAGCCACGTCGTTGCATCGAATTTATGCATCGTTAAACAATATTATTGCGTTCCCACGCCGAACCTTTAACGCTTTGGGGCCACTTTTAAGAGGAAAAGATATTTTTCCAAAGTTTGAAACTGTGTGCTCAGACTGAAATGTCAGAATTCTTTTATCTATGAGTATATACGAGTATATATGTATCATATAAAATTATAGATATTTACTTTTGACAAAATCACAACATGGGCAATATAAAAATGGTTCGACTCGATAAACGGTCTGATTACTTTCAACAGATGTTTACTTTTGGTAGCGACAAAATTTAATCTACAAATTCTTTGGAACAAACGTTGTGTTTGTTAGAACTGTCTTATCTTTATCGTCTCTACATTATATCCCCTTAAACGGAACATAAAGAAGAAATTGAATAACAGTATTGATGGAACTCAAATTATGTTTTTGACGAAACTGATGTAGGTTTAGACCAGTATCTTGTGTGTTAATTTTTAGATCATTCGATCTATATTTTTCCAGAATCATTATTCTTATTGCAAAAATGAAAAGTACAAATACGATTTTCAATTTTTTCTGAGTATAATTTGTTATGAAATTTTTTCATATATTTTTTATTTTAAAATTAATGGTCCAGTTGATCTATTTAAGAAATTTTTAGGCTTTTGGACCTTAGTGGCGTTCTTTTAATTATCATGTGCAGATGGCTCTTACGGAAATACTGAAACATATTTCTATCATATCTGTATTTTGTATTTTTTTCTTTGACAAAATTTAATACAATATTTTGTAAAACACTATACAGTAGCTATAAAGGTTTGTACACTTTGTATATTATACAAAATATTAAATGCATTGAAAATAAACTGAGTCTTCATTTTGTTAATGAATGAAAGGTTATTTACATGTTTTATAAGTCATGTTTGGTCGGTATTTTCAGTGGACATATAAGATAGAGAGAATACATAAATTAATGACAAAACAAATACGCAAGGGAAGAAATAAAATCGCAAAGCTTTAAATAACAACTGTTTATTTAGTTTTTCTGATATTTTTGTTACAATTATAGAATCCAATTTTATATATTTATTAGATGTCTTTATATTTTAAAATAATATTTCACACATTTGTCAATATAATTCACTAATGCTTCATTTAGAGTTGTAAATATATTTATACTAACCGGTTATTCTACATTTGCATATAATTTAATTCTCGAATGAAACATATGGTTGTACATAATCATTTGGCGTTCGTCGGTAATAATATTTTACTAACACTTTCTTGTTTTGTTTTAAAAGGAATTTCGTGATTATAATTGGAAACTCATGTAAAATTTAAATGCATTACTGGTAAGTTAAAACAAGTTTGTGACCATCCTATTACAATACAATCACCGCTGTTGAAATTATAGGTAAATTGTGTTCATTTGAATTACGTTAATCATCATCTGGCAAACAAACTTTAATTTTGCAATTAATTTACCTTTCTTAAATATTATTTTCACCGATTAATAGCCCATCTCGCTCAGATAACATTTAACATAATTTACAATTATACGAAAAGTTATGTTTTGAAATCAACAAGCAAAACATGTTCATATATACAGCCATATAATTTAAACAAGAATTAAACAGTCGTTACTTTATTTTGAATATTTAAAAACTTTTTGTAAATAAAACAAGAGAAAGTCTAAGTAAGTTCCTTGACAACATATCGCTATATCACACTTTCATAGAGAAGAATAAGTTATGACGAAAAAGTGTCAATTGCAAAAAGATGAAGCCCCATTCCCGATTCTCAATCTGAAAAAAGTAAAAGTAAATAAATGAAAGTAATAAAACAAATGCCGTCTGTCAATGTGAGTTTTTACTACAATTCCATCTTTGGATAAATCTCATGTATATCTTAATCATAGGTAAATACATTCAATATTTATTGTACAGTAACCTACGTTTAACCTTTAATATTGAACAAATAGTATGGTATGTTACTAATTGCTTTAGACTTTTTTGTAAAGATTCTATGTACGATGAATTCATTATAATTCCATTTAGAACAAATTAATCAAATAATCAAATATAACGAAAGATGCATTTACCAGAATAGTTGCCGCGCCAAGGCCAAAACACTTAGATATATTGTCAGAATTCCAAATTGAACCGATGTTGCTGAAACAATAATTAATAATAATCATGAAATTTAAACTCTACACATAATAGGTAAATACTGTATGAATACATAGTCTCATTACAAAAACTACCCCAACAATAAACAATTTGGCATTTTTGTTAAACTTAAGATTGAAACAAATTAACTTGATCAAGTATATTTCTTGCAGCTTTTTAAACATAGTTTGTGCATTCTCTTATTCAAATTACACATATTCAGTATGAATTTCCTAATTTTTCATAAAATTTCTGCATGAAAGAATTTGCCTTTAAAGATAAGCACAGTAAATCTTTAAATTTACAACACACTAAACAACATTATCGTGAATTACAAAGTAAGTGAATAGAAAACAGTGAGAGATAACAATATATATAGCGGGTATTTGTGTACAATTATTTCGTCTTTGCATTTCCACTTTCCCTTTGTATGTGTGAAAATGATGAATATCATGATTAGAATTTAACTAAATAAACCTGTGTCATCTGCACAATATTCTTTATATAGTACTTTGCGCTTATTGCGATACACACTTCAATATTCAATACATAGTACTTACCTGCACTTTCTGTTGTACACACATTTACATTCATTACATAGAAACTTACCTGCATTTTCTGCGGCACAAACGTCTGCATTCATAACAAACCCATCATTACATTTACATTTGGAAGCGTCACAATGTGAGTTTGCAATGGCGTCACATTCTGTTCCAGCTGTGGTACATGTTGTTCCGCTAACGGCTTGAAATAGAAAAAGTTATGTTGGAAAATACATTTCCATTAATTTATTGATTTGTATATTGTTTTGCAATGAGCAAAACATGTTCATTTAAACTTCAATGAGTGAAATTGAACTTTTTTTATTTCAGAATGTTATGGACTTGCGAGCATTACATGAAAATTGAACTAAAGCATTCAGTTATCAGCTAATACGTTATTGATTTTCGTAAGTTCTGATAAATACATACACTTACTTTTCACACACGATTTGCCGTTTGTTCTATCTTCTGCAAATCCATCAGAGCATTTGCATTTAGCACCGGTTTCAGCATTGTCACATTCTGCATTTTCAGTATGCGTACACTGGACTGCAGCATCTTTGGTACAGCCTGTATCTATCACTTTACCTATAACATATGACTCGGAACAATTTCTAAGTTAAAGAAACAGTAAGAAAGTTAAAATAATAATAAGTTAAATTATTATGAATGAAGCGGTTCTTTAGCACAGAATGTGCAGTTAACGTTTAGTTTACAAGATCAATATGATCTGTACCTAAAGGAAGTGCCTTTATCATAGAATAAATATCAATAAAATTATGACATGAAATGATTGAAGATTCAGTCAATTATCTAAGACGATTAAAAGTCGAAGCTGCAATCTATCGTTTAAATGTAAAGAATTTAATAGATTGTTTTGAAAGATGACAAACATTTGATTGCGTTTAATAGTTTAATACCTGTCATAAGAAGAACATGTTTTTCAATCAAAATGACAATACATAGAGGATATTGAATGAGTGTAGGTTTAATACTAAACTTATTGAACGAGTTGAAAAATATTGTTTTATTCAACGAGTTCAATAAATTTAGTATTGAATCTACACGAATATAATATTCTATTAATCATATATATAAAATTTGAACGGTAAACTGTTAACAAGAGTCATTTCTATTTGACGCGCCTATAGTGTAACGCTAACATTAGCGCGCTTTAACGCTATGTTTTTACATGTAGCGCAAATGGCGTTACGTCAAAGTGTTATTACACTAGTGTAATATCGTCTAGTGTAATATCGTTTTTATTAAATGACTTTACTACACTCCTGCATCGCGGTTTATGTGATAAACATTAAATAAATTATTTTTATTAAAAATAACAATAATAGCTTATGGCGTAATTATTTCGCCTGCTCTGTACAAAATCACAAATTCTTTGGCTTAGATACACATGCACTTTTAAGTCACAAATAATAAAAGCGTATAAGAAGTATTTGATATTTTTTAAAGAAATGACTTTTGAGTTGCAACAGCAAATACTATTTCCAATATCGTAACTGAAACGCATCATATCCTTTTCAAACGAGTAGCATCCTAATAAAGAATAAGAGAATGACAAGTGCCGATAACTAGAGAATCCTTTCATTTTTTTTGTATTTGGATTAATTCAAATCATGCTTACCAGAAGTGTCTGCAGCACACACGTCTACATTCATGACAAAACCATCATTACATTGACATTTCCCTGCGCCACAGTGCGAGTTTAGAATATGATCGCATTCATTTCCATTTGCTGTACAAGTTGTTCCACTGACAGCTAAAATAAAAAATGCAGTAATTTATGGAATTTGATTTAGCATTTGATGGTTAAATATTTAATTTACAAAACGTATTAACACCTAATTTTAGCCTAGTTATAGCATTGACACAATACGTTCATAAGTATTTACATATATAACAGTCTTCTCGTCATTGTCATTAAAACAAAACTTTAGTTTAAACCCTTCTGCGTAAAAAGCAATGTTTCCGAAATAAGTTTAAAAGTTACAATATATTAATTGCAATTTTTCAATATATTTTCAACTAATGCGTTATACTTTTGGTACACAAAGAGTTCTTTTCTGCATAGCCATTCTTACACATGCATTTGCCACCTGTGCACTCGGTATTTGATAACGCTGGACAACCGTTCGTTTCATCACAAACATCCTCTAGAACTGAAAGAAAAAGAAAAAAACAACAAACATTGATTACTATTTACAATAAAAAACATGGCATAACGTTATTTCAAATTATCTAATAGGTATTAGTCTAATTCAGTCAATGCAATTGACATTTTGTTTAATGAGTTTGAAATATGTTTTACAAGGTACTTAATTAAATCAGAATAAAATTAAACTATTTAATGAGCTTATAATGAAATATAAGCTTAGATTGATTGGATTGGCTTTGAAACTTCTTATTTAAAAATGACGTTTTTCACAAAACTAGTTTCAACACAAGAGCCGGTTGAATCGAGTGATAATCCCCGAGGAGTAGGTTAAGGAAGTGTCAGAGTTGTCCCTGACAAAGTTCAAAGTGTAAAAATGAATAAAGGACAATAACTCCAAAATTAAGCAAGGCAGAGTTAAGGTTCTTTTGCACTGCACTTCTATTTAATGAGAGTAACCTACCGACAAACCTCTTATGGTTCAGAGCTATGTCTAGGACAAAATTCAAAGTGAAAGAATTAACAAAGGCTATAACTCAAAATAAAGCTAGGGCGATTTATGGCTCTTTAGCAGCACTGTACTTCTTCCCAAGGAGATCTATCTACCTACAAAGCTTCATGTTGATATCTCTTATATTTGTAGAGTTGTGTCCCGGACAAAGTTCAAAGTGTAGATATGAACAAATAGCAATAACTCCAAAAATTATGCAATGGAGAGTTATGGCTCTTTTGAACAGCATCTCTATTATCTACCAATACAGTCTCATGTTGATACCTCTAATAATTTTAGAATTATGTCCCAGACAAAGTTCAAAGTGTAAATATGAACAAAGGGCAATAGTTCCAAAATTAGGCAAGGCAGAGTTATGGTTCTTTGGCACTGCTTTTACATAATCAGGTCTATATACTACAAGTTTTCATGTTGATATTACTTAAACTTTTAGAGTTATGTCCCAGACAAAGTTTAAAGTGTACAAATGAACAAGGGGCAATAACTCAAAAATTAGGCAAGACAGAGATATTGTTCTTTAGCACTGCACTGTCACCCAATGAGATACATCTACTTTCAAAGTTTCATGTTGATATCTCTTATAGTTTTAGAGTTATGTCCCGACAAATTTCAAAGTGTAAAAAAAACAAAGGGCAATGACTTCAAAAGTTGGCAAGACAGAGTTACGGTTTATTTGCACTGCACTTCTACCCAGTGAGATCTATCTACCTACACAGTTTTATGTTGATATCTCTTATAGTTTTAGAGTTATGTCCCGGACAAGGTTTAAAGTGTAAATATGAACAAAGGGCAATAAATCAAAATAAGGTAAGACAGAGTTATGGGGCTTAAGCACTGCACATTTTCACAATGAGATACATCTATTTACAAATTTTCATGTTGATATCTCTTATAGTTTTAGAGTTATGTCCTGGATAATGTTCAAAGTGAAAAAATAAACAAAGGACAATAATTCCAAAAATAGGCCAGGCAGAGTTACGGTTCTTGTGCATTGCACATCTGCTCAATATCTACGAGACCTATACAAAGTTTTCATGTTGATACCTCTTGTTGTTTCAAAGTTATGTCCCGGGCAAGAAAATCGGAGGAACAAAGTGGCGACTATATGCCCACCTTTCGGGGAGTATAATTATTTCAATCAAATATTCTGAACCTTTTTCCACACATCCGTCTTCATTTGCATTCAACTTGAAACCGCTGTTACATGCACAATTCGTGTCGTCACCACACGAAGAATTTTGTTCGCAGTCAGTATCTGCGTTACATCCGGTAGTCAAAGCTTGAGAGAAACAAAAATTACGTAAACTTTAAAAACAAGTAAAATGGTTTCCTGCGGGGAACATATTAATGATATAAAGATATTTCATTTAACTATTTTCAACATTGTTTGGGAGGGATAAATAAACGTTGGTATCAGGAATATAGTTGACAATGATCGATCAATATAGAAGAAGGTCTTTGGAAACTGGTGACCGTTGAAGACCGGAGAAGGTCGAACATAAAACAATTATTTCTTTTTAAGAAAATGATTAAATAGGCCTACCATTTTATGAATAATTCCGAGCAAATAAAGAATAAAGTAAACACACAAGTTTACGCAGAAAATATCTCTATTCATTATGGCAGATGCCACTACGAATATTTTAATTTTGTAGATTTTCAGTATAAACAATTTATTGTTTGTAAAATTTGAGATAGATTTTAAAGAAACATTGATAATTTTCAAACACAACATTCAAGTTTTTCCACCTTAAACGGTAAAATAATCCTAGAAAATTAGAAATATCACGTTATAGATTTTTGTTCTTCGGACTAATTCCCTAGAGGTAAATCCGTAACGTACCGACAAACGGTATTTAGCTAGGTTTTCGAAAAAGGTCAGTTAACCAATCATGTACGGTTTACAGATCACATGCTCCTCCATGTACCGAAAACAGGTCACGTGCTCCTCCATGCCTCAAAAGTTAAACGCGTACCAATACCCTGCGGTCTCCAGACCGCAGGGAATAACTTTCATCAAGATTTCAGATATTAAGAATTTTATTGCATAATAAATTGCTGCCATTTGGTAATCTATTTGCAAAACGATAATACAGCTTGGGTTGTACATGTTACAATTTTTTTTATCAAAAGTATATTATATAGTAAGATATAACTTAATTTTCCCGACTGAGGTAGATCAACTTACAGACAAACAATAGCATCGGTCAACAATAGTTTTACATGTAGGGCACACAATAGGCACATTATCTCTATTTGTAGATACAAAGATACCTTGTCACTTTGATTTCTGAAAACCGTTGACAAGTTTTATGTAATAGAATGGACATACCTGCTTTTGTACAGTGTATAAACACTATTCCAAGTACAACTGTGGGGAATAAGAGTCTCTGAAATAAGCATAGCAAAACTGAAATAATAATGATCAATAACTATTTGTTTTGTATAAACAAAGTAATGTGAATGTTTCAATATCTTCTATTCAGAAGAATTGGGATTTGTTTGTTTATATGTGAAGGCAAAACTCCTTTCTAGAAAAATGATTGTTTGTTTGACTGGGTTTTACGTTAAACCGACATAGTATAGACCATATGGCGACGTTCCAGCTTTTACTGGTGATGGAAGACTTTAGGTGCCCTTTCGTGCATTATTTTAGGCACGAACAGGCACGTGAATAGAACCATTGACGTTCCGTAAGCTAGCTAGATAGCTTCCTAACATGAAAGGATCTAAAGTCCCTGTCGGGATTCGAACCCACAGCGGTGAGGGGCAAGTGGTCTAGAAGAATGTGCCGCTATATATGTGAGTCATGTTTAAAGAACATTCTTTATTCATATATCCACAGATGAAACATTTTCTTGAAAACAAATTGATCGTTGTACATGACAAAAACATAAACTGATTTTATTGCATCATTTTTATTATTTGTACGGCACCTGTTTACATATATATGTGCAATTTTCAAAATTCATTAAACACACTTTTAAGATAATTAAAAAAACAACATTTATGTTTCATGATTATTTGACCAAAGCAACAATGTATATTTGCGAGTTCAAAAATTTAACAAGGTTTAACTGCCATTTGATGTATGTAGCACTGCAAAAATGTAGGTGCACGACTAAAGCAATTTTCTTTTAAATTTTGTATTATACGGATAAACATTATATCCGTGTAATACAAATTTAAAAGAAAATTGCTTAATTTGTGCTTTTTTGACTACGTTAAGGGTGTGAGGTAGCATATTTGTTTAGCAACTTATTAGTACGTAAACACTTATAAAATCATCTTTTAGAATACATGCAATATACGTAAAAGCCTCTTTGTATAGCCTTTTTCAGTTTAAGCTTTCTCACAGAACAAAACATCATATTGTGAAGCTGAATATTGTGTTTGTGTTTAAAATGTTCGCCTAAATAAAATTAAATTATAGGGAAACTTTTTGTTTTGTTATGCAATGTATTATGATAATAAGACTAGATCTAAATAAAGAAAAATATGTTTTTTTTTACATATTTTTTATTTGCCAAAGGTAACTCAATGGAATAAAACCTATTGCATGAACAAATATTTACACATACGAAGGATGCTCTAAAACAATACCACTGGCTATTTTGTTTTAAATTAACTCAAGTTCGGATCATTTTAGTTTGCTACCTTATTCAAACTACTCGTGGTCTGACCCAATGCTCCTCTTAAAAAGATTAATCAACTTGTGTATACTCCACAATTGGCACACTCATTCCTGTTAGTTCGTGTTGATAACGCTATCTTGAAACGCCAGACGACGATGTTGTTTACAACGGGAAAATGATGGACACGCAGAAAATTAGAAATCGCGCGATCAAAATGTTATGTCCTACAAAAAACCTTGAAAAAACGATCATAAGTGTTTAAGTGGTATAAGATATTAAGTAAAGAACGGGAACACGGGCATTACGTGGCCATTGATTGCGTAACGTAGAAGCACAAGGTGTCACCCCGGTACGGAATTAGACCCAGCCCGTTGTAGTCTAGAAAGTAGTTCTTTTAAATTTTGAAATGGCCTATTTCATATCATCTTAATTGATACTGGTTATATTTTAAGTATATCTTTAGTAATTATGTACATGAAGTTTCATTTCTGAGTACTTTAAAGGTTGTTTTTTATGTATTTTTGCAGGATTTCATTTCTGGGTGGAAGGTTTCATGAGGCACTATGCACAAGAATACACACCAGTTACTATTTGGAATATTCTATAGTGATTACAGAAATTAAAAGCTGCAGAAAAACTCCAAGGGCTAATGTATTATTTTTTTGTGCTAAATTTACTTGGACTGCATTGGTGTTTAAAGAAATGGTCATGAAGTTTCGGTACCGGATTTGTTTTGTCCAGAATTTAGCCTTAAATGTGATGGATTTACTATAGGATATATGGGTCGAAAATTCAGTAGGCCGTGTCCTAAATGTAACAGGTTAAAATGGGATTTCTAAGGAACTACTTGGAATAAAGTGATGAAACTTCACCTACTGGTAATGCTTGTGGATAGCAATCTGAATTTTAAAGGATAACAGTCAGGTTTGTATATTTCAAATTTTATTTAAAAATTAAATTTTGACAATTTAAAAATCTGCCACTTTCTATTGATGTTGTCTCCCCTTGCCATAAGACACCATTTGCTTCACTCCATTTGCATGCATTTCGTTGACCACAATACGGAAGTGGTTACACAAGAAGTAGTGCCTATGTTTGATGCTAAATATTTATGAAGTATTGAATGAAAGACTTTGCAAAAATGTCATAATTTAAAAAAGGGGATTAAAATTATTGACAGATTGAAATTTGAAATAATTTCATATGTTATAGAAAGCAAAATGAACATTATTGACGAAAGTTTACTGCCTGTTTGCAGCCAACTTGACAGCATATTTTCATGCGCACATCATTTAGGTGAAGTTTTTGAATTGTCAACAAAATTAAGTGAATGGTGTTTGTTTCAAACTTCTCGAAAATTGCAATTTCATTTCGGGTCAGTATATATAGAACATAAAGTAGAAATAACTGTGGTCATATGTCATTCATCTGCTGGCAGATATAGAAACAGTGCTATATTGTCATTATTAAAGCTGCTATAGACTAGTTTCATTTGATAATCATATTGAAATAGATAAATAGAACTGAAATTGACACGATATGTATTTGACAGTCAAGGATATTGTAATTTGTATATGTATATGCAGCTTTGAATTTTATTTCATGATGCATGTTGTGTATAAGTGTAATACATAGGCCTATAGATATAACATTATCCTGTTGGGGAGTGCAAATGGCAAATAAGAAATTGCACTTGTCTATAGTCTGTTACAACAGTGATGATGTTGTTGTTGTTGTTGTTGTTGTTGTTGTTTTCACATGATTGTGGGGGGGAGGGTATTTTTATTTTTCTTCGCAGTTGTCATGTTTACAAATGGCAAAAATATGCTCTCCCGTTTCGACCGGCAATCAGGTCATCATCAGACATTCTGCCATGAATGTGACGGGGCTTATTTTCACCATAACTCAGTTGAAATAACAATGCACAGCCACATCAATTCCTGGTAGCCCTACTTTGAAGGGCCTGCTGCATCAAGTTGTCCTTTGTGGTACTCGTCATTGTACTGGCCTTCACTTCTCGCAAGGTGGTACATGTGTTCTAGTTTTGCCCGTGTTTCTTTTCTTTTCATCTTAAATTGTCTTGTTTTTTGGTAATGCTAAGGCCTTTGAAGTCTGTTTGATGCTGATTTTAGGTATCGAAGTGTTCTTGGTGATAGGGAGTGTCCTGTTATACTTCGGACATTTTTCTCAGCAGAAACTTGAAATGAATTGTTAATTTGCAGAGTTTTTGAAGCTAAGCTGCCCGCAAAATTCCTCGAAAAGTTGATTTCTTTAGGCAGGGTGGATAACACAGATCTGTTAAAACTTTTGCACTTCAAGTGTTGCTTGTCACACTTTTGATGGCGTACTCACTTAGGCGTATTTTCAGAATAGCGGATTATAGCTCACGGTCATTTCTTGTCAATTCTAGGATGAATACCATGTGTGGGTAGATAGGAAGAGTTATACCACCAATCACCAATATTTCCTACACCGGAACAAACTAGGGATTCCTCTGGACAGAACTTACAGCTACCAGCATAACACTCTAATGTAGCTATACGGATTGTCAGTAAGCCTAAGGTATGTAAATTTCCTTCGAGACCATTTTTTTAAGCGAAGTTTTCTATAATAGCACTGCATCTAGCCTTAATTAATATCCTTAGCAAAAGCTCTAATAGCTTGTCTTGCACTGCCAGATAGGGTTTTTCCTTCAAACATTGTTGGGCTCCAATTTGAACCCAGTCCAAGTTTTTGTTCACAGTGTAAGTTGATGTTTAATTTATCACATTTTTGAGCACTGTGCTCTTCATAAACTTTGTTCATCATAGCAATTTGCTTTTAAATCTAAATTGATCACTTTATTCCCTTGCGGTTCACTGTTATCTTTTATTTTGCAGACTTTTCTGTGAGCAAAGCACTGGTTTTGAGGAAGTTCATACCTGATTTTGGCTGAGATGTATGCAAGAACTACTGTTGGTTTGTTCGGCAGCGTTCAAGTGAGGAGGTAAAATCTTGTGTCCTTTCTTGAAAGTTCCACTATTAAGGCGTCTCTTTCCCATTGTAAAATAATATTTTTAGGAGTATGATGGGCTTGAAGAGTAAATTGATTTAATACTTCCTATTCAATTATTTGAATTGATTGCCTTGTTCTATAACAATTTTAAAGGCCTTATCTGAGTAAGAATTTACTTACAAAAGGCCATATATAGTACTAGGGTAATAGAGATGTTTATAGATGGTATTAACAATGAGTGTAGTCTGTGTATGTATATACTTTGCTTTGTTTACTGATAAATTTAAGTAAAAGTCTTAATCGGGAAGTTTTATAGCAATTTTTAGGGAAAAAATCATTATAATGGCAAACTTTATGCCCATTTTTCACTATTTCAAACTTAAATTTTAAGCTTTTTTTTTAAGAAAAAATGGATAAATTTTACCATTTTATACAAACAAGGTATAATTCATGCATAGTAAACCTGTACAATATTGGCCAACAACAAAAAACTTTATTTCATGAAAATCTGTCTTCTATTTCTGAAGATATGTTATAATTTGTAATGCCATTTTTTTATCTAAAATTCTGTTGGCCGAGCCTGATTTTCCGCAAAGTGGTCACCCTTTAAGAAATGCTCCTGTATCAATGTGAAATGTAAGAGACATTGATTTCTTGATTAATATTACTTGTTCAACAGAAAATTACCAAAAAATGTGTGTAAATGTTCTTTTAAATGAAATTTTATGTTCATTTAGGTGTCACCCCGGTACGGAATTAGACCCAGCCCGTTGTAGTCTAGAAAGTAGTTCTTTTAAATTTTGAAATGGCCTATTTCATATCATCTTAATTGATACTGGTTATATTTTAAGTATATCTTTAGTAATTATGTACATGAAGTTTCATTTCTGAGTACTTTAAAGGTTGTTTTTTATGTATTTTTGCAGGATTTCATTTCTGGGTGGAAGGTTTCATGAGGCACTATGCACAAGAATACACACCAGTTACTATTTGGAATATTCTATAGTGATTACAGAAATTAAAAGCTGCAGAAAAACTCCAAGGGCTAATGTATTATTTTTTTGTGCTAAATTTACTTGGACTGCATTGGTGTTTAAAGAAATGGTCATGAAGTTTCCGTACCGGATTTGTTTTGTCCAGAATTTAGCCTTAAATGTGATGGATTTACTATGGTAGCACTCCACACTAAATTTCAAGTTTCTGCCGTCAATGTCCTACAAGCAATATGTCTGATAAATCTGATCCCAAACTACACAACCTGGAAAAAGAATACACATTTTGTTAAGAACATATATGTCATACCATTGCAAATCTGTAATGAAATCATCCCATGAGCAACAGTCGGGCAGTTAAAAAAATTCCAATTCATTCCGTAAAAGCCAAAAATATATAGTGGTCCGAGACCCAAAACAACATTTTTCGTCCCTCCAGCAAAAAATACCTGCAAATATACGGTCTACAAAAACTCTGTCACTGCTTTAGCAACTCCCTGTGCATGCAAAATATCACAAAGAAATAGGTGCTTGGCCTTGTAGATTTTTTGCTATTGCTGAAAGTTTGAACCCCCCTGTAAAATTACTTTTTTTTCACCGAGCATGCTGTTAAAAAGCAATGTTTACAAACAATGGCGACCTTGACATCAATAATTATCAGCATGTGATTTCTAACCATGTTTTCGAATTTGCCAATGATCATATTACATGTCACAAAAACAAATTTCATGCTGAAAATGCATTTTAAAGACAACCAGTCATTTAAATCCACAATAGTCACTATATCCATGAAATCCTCCCTGGCCATTCGAAGCTGCGGCTTCATTTAGTGTGGTGTGCTGCCTATAGGATATATGGGTCGAAAATTCAGTAGGCCGTGTCCACAAGTTGTACGTTATTATGGCGTTTACGCCGCTGTCGCCGACATGTGTTTATGTAAATTTAAATAATGTTGTAATTTAAGAAGCTACTAACATGTTTTTTCTATTTAATTTTGTTATTAATTCTTCTAAGCATTATCAATATCTCAAGTAAAATTTACGCAACAAAGTCCATGAATTTTTATATTACCCCTCGTAGTTAGGCGTGTATTAAAGGTTAAGGAAATTAATTGATACATTGTACGTTGAAAGAAGTCCTGAAACAAATTGTTAAGGACACTAAAAGGTGATGAGAATCGTTAGATAAATTTGGCTTATCTTTAAAAACATGTAGAATTTTATTATTCACGTTGAATGTATATAGTTACATAGTATAAATATATAGCAAGATTCACAAACTATATGAATATTTTCTTTTGAAAAATTAATTATATTGTAATACTGTTTAAAGTATAAAAAGTGACTTACCATGATTATATCCCGTACTCTGTTTGTTCAATATAACACCCAAGCAGGGGTACCCGTATTTATGCGTAATGTAATATTGGGGCAGTGCAAAATAGTCACATGACCGTTGTTGTAAATCAGCATTGGAGAATATTTTTGAAGTTTTGCTTTGCAACTACCTTTATTTATCTTTAGGGTGTCTATTCAAACAAACATAAATGCGATGATTGAAACTTTTTGAAGTTTGAATACTCTTCAAAGGAGCTCCACTGACGTCTAAAAGTATATAAAACATAAAATTGTAAAACAGGGCACTTTAAACAGAAAACATGACAAATAATAACAAAGGCATATAGTACCCAGCATCAAATTGAAATTCAATATCAAGAGCAACATTTAATCATATTTGAGTTACAGGGCCTTTATTTTCTAGGTATTTTGCACAATGGAAATAATTATGTTGGATAAAACTGAGTGAGCGAATGATATATTTCGCGAACAACCCTCATCAAATGATGTTAAATCGCGGTAAATCTTCTTGTCCCGTTACATGTATATCGTATTTGATTTTTTAATTCTCAAATGAGAACACGTAAATTAAATATTAACTTCTTCTTGTTTGTTTATTATTTACCAAAAAAATTAAAATAAATGCCTTTCAGAGTTGACTACGAATAAACAAATACTTTAAAACAGATTTGATATTTAAAACAAATTATATGGTTATTACATTTATTGGTAAGTGAAGGCGTAAATATCTGTTCCAGAACAGAACTACTCAGACATGTATAATGAAACAGTAATGAGAAAAAAAAGCTACTTTTCTGTCAGAATATCAGATCAAAGATAAAAAGGGGGAAGCGATATTCAATGTACGCATGCCCCACTATTAGACAGACAAATAAACCTTTAAAATCGTACATGCATAAGTACAGATTCGAAGTTGCTGTATCGTATTACATAACACTATACCGAATAAACAGATTATATGTTATAGATTAGTAAAACAAAGATGCACTTTCTGAAATGTTTAAATATTACTTGTAAAATATTCAGGATTAAAAATAGCATTATATTTAAAGTGATAAAAGCAAAATCCGCAAAAAATACATTCCTTCATTTGAAATGGCTGATATCTACGCTATTAAATTCTGAATTTCACCATTTTCGTACTTGGAGGTTTGTCTTTACCACTATTTTACATGGCATATATTTATATTTGACAAGTTGGACGTTCATTAAAGATTTTCATTTCATTCGTTAACGTGTGTCCTCCGAACAATAAAAAATAAACAGACTTTAATCATCATCGGTATTAAATCTATTCAAAAGACAATCAAACGGACAAAAAAGCAGACTTTATCCTACTTGATTAAAAGTTTACAGTTACAATGCTGATACATTTATCCAATTGTAGTTTTCAGAATCTGAAGAGTGTTCTTGTAGTTCGAATTCGTTTTTAAGTGCCTTGCAAATAATATAAAGATGTAATATTGCGATTCTTAAGCAGTGGCACATCAAACTTTATTACCACCACAGCGTCTAGCAATTGCTCTTTTCAAAATGTAATATGATATAAAGGATATAAAAGCTTGAAAGTGAAATAAAAAATAAGGATATGGGGTTCTTAATTGTTAAGATTTTAGTAAATAAACACTAATACGAGTATGCACGTAATATAACAGTTATGCTATGAACAAACATGAAGTACTTAAGAAGCTGTAAAAATACTCTCCTTATTTCTGAGCATGTATTTACTCACTGCTTTGCTTTTGAAAAACAATTTATTATCTATTAATTATTAATATGATTTGCAATAAATGTTGATTTATTCCCTAAGTGATACAAGTAATAAAGTTTGCAATTGCATTACCTTGTTAAAAAAACTAGTTTACGTCTTGGGAGGTTTGATATCTAAAGGGGAGATACAAAAAAAGTTGTAGTAAGTATAGTCCGTTCTTTACATCGAATGCGTAGGGGGTAATAATTTTTAAGACTCCAGTAATTCGAACCCGTTGAATCAACTCTTACGATCACGAGTTCATGGTCGTCACAGAGGGCATGTGTTAGACGTTTTGGTTGACAATTGATATCAACGTAACGAATTCTAAATAGCAAGCGACCTTTGTCACAATTATGATCGTCTTAAATGTAACTTAATAAAGTTAACAGCTAGTACATTCGGATATAAAGCACTACACAGTCCATTTAATAAATTACATTTTTTATAGTTTGAGCAGATGTTTAAGTCTGACAACTATCGTACTAAATTAAACATGTAAAAAGGATGGCTTCAAAATATATTTAACAAAACCAAAATAAAAGTGGCAAATTCATCTCTATTATTTCGTATTGAGCAGGTTAAAATTCCATCTTGGTTAAAAAAATAATTTTAATCGTATCGGAAAATGTCTAGTACTACCGCCTTTTGAAATATATTACAGAAGTTGGATATATATATTGCATATTCCTATTCCCTGCCTCAAGTCCCGAGTTCCAAACACAATTGTATAGGGTGTGTGTGTGTGTGTGCGCGTGTGTGTGTGTGTGTGTGTGTGTGTGTGTGTGTGTGTGTGTGTGTGTGTGTGAGCACTCCTACCTAAGTCTAACAATTAAATTCATGAAATGATAAGTGGTTTGAAGTGCTGACCACGGACGATGAATAACTAGTAAACATGCTTGATTTAGGCATACGATAAATATCGGAAATTTTAGAAAAGATTGATTTTGTTTCTTTTTGTGTATCACTATCCTCTCTTTTCATCAAGCGAACCATTAAATAAGATTTGAAAGGATAATATTTGGGTCTGACTTCATAAGATATATAGCTGATATTACAGGCGCAATATAAAAACTATAGCTTCGCAACCATTTGCAATGGTAATAAGTTAGCTCCATAATGTCTTTGTCGTAAAACAAGTCATTGACCAACTGTTCATTATTTGGTAAAATTGTGAATCTTATAATCGTTCAAAATATCAAGGAAATATTTTTTTATCATTAATCTTAATCATTATTAAGGAAGTTATTTCCTCCTAATGTGCACGAGTTTTACCCCATCTTGTAATACATATCTGGTATTTTCGTATCCGTTAATATATCCATTTTGATGTGATTACATCGAGAATGAAACGACACTGTAAACATGAACAGCAGTTTTTTCAAATAAAGATTGACCATGTATTGTTTGCTCTTTCATCCGTTAGTAAGGTTTTTTGAATTATTATTATTGTATTAACTGTTTGTGATTTACACTGGGTCAAATAAAATCGGATACAAAGAGGCTTCGCTTATTATTATAGCAATTTATGAGTGTTTTCTAATTTATCACAGTTTCCACAAGGCAACGTGAACAACATGTTTTAAATTCCTATATCGAAAGTTGTCGATTCATTATTATGCCCCCGATGAGATGAGTTAGAGGTCAATACATGTTTTACGAATCTTCATAACAAACGTTGTATCAAACATTCGATAGTCTAAATTTGTCTTTACACAGTTTTAAAACTGGCAGATTTCAGCTGTTATTGAAATTTAGTGACATTGTGATTTATACTTACTTTTTATTTCTTAGAATTTCTTTTGAATAATAATTTATGAAAAACTATTCTGATTAAAGCTCAATAAAATGTGGAAGAATATGCGATGGTCCGTCTGTCCACACTTTAGGTCCGTTATTATTTTCCTATCAAAAGCTTCAGAAGGAATGAGTCTAAAAGTATTTATCTTGGTAGGTACATTTCTGAATACAGATATATATATCCACTGGACGGAAATGAATTTACTTAATATCCTTCTTCTTATTCAAACAAATATTTATCTTTCCAAACTAATAATCCCGTACAAGGGCGAATATTAACTATGAGAAATACACTGATTACAATTTAAACTGCATACAAGTATATTGGAGAAATCAAGAAAATATTCACATGAAATGTTGAAGTTATTTAAGTAAAGCATGAGACAATTAATCAACTGATACAAAAAAATCCTCGAAATAAATGCACATATTATCATTATAAAAAGCAAAGTAAGAAAACTGTACAAGGACGCATGTTTTTAAAAATACTGTTTAAAAAACAACTTAAAATGCTTTTAAATGTTGTTTATTGAATAAATTTATCACAAAGGAATGATATAAACATTACAAATATCCATTTAGAACAAACTTATAAATATATAAACATTTTTAAGAATCAAACAAAATGGAAAAACAATAACAAGAAAACAGGAACGAACATGAAAAGACAGAATGAGAGAAAATCCCGTTCAAAGGTAAGTTTAACTATGACATATGCTCACAGATAATATTTAATCTGATTAAAAGCATGCTATAGAATTTATGAAAAGTTTAGATCAATGTTGAAGTTATCACTGTATATAAGTAGACAATTTCGTCAAACTTCTGATAAAAAAAATTCCAATAAAATGCGCCAATATAAAAAAAAATGAAAAAAGCAAACTAAGAAAACAGTATAAGGGCGAATCGCTTCTTAAAGATATACTGAACAAACTTTAAATTCGGTGTGATGTTGTATATTTCATAATATTATCTCATTGAAATGATAAAAAACCTTACAAATTAAGTAAAAATAAAACAAATTCAGTTATGCACATCTTAAGAAAGAAACAAAAGGAAAAAACAACAAAAATCATAAAAAATAACAAAAAACAAAGTAAGTACCCAATATTAAGGCGAATCTTCAAGAATCTATTTTTGACATAAATGTGAAGCTAGGGATTCTGCCAGTCAATCATAAAAAATTTTAAGCTGAAAATAAACTGGAAAATCTGTGGATAAAGTCTTTACTGATTTCGACTAAACATACACAAAGGCGAATCATACTTTCAATATCATTTTTGAATCATATCAATTTTTGAATAATATTCACTTGTTATGATGCTAGTGACTGAAACAAAACTTTCTTATTACTATTTAGTTATACATATTATTGCAAAATTAAATGTGTGCACATTTCTAGAGTGAATTGAATTACCTTGTCAAAGTTGAGAAAAACCTTTCTGTCGTTCTGTGTGGTACCTTAGAGAAGATAAGTTTATTGAATTATGAATTGAATCATGAGATGTGAAGTTATACTATTTTTTCTTTTTTGTTATGTTCGTTCCTGTTTTCTTGTTATTGTTTTTCCCTTTTGTTTGATTCTTAGAAATGCTTATAAGTAAATTTATTTCCGTCCAGTGGATTGTTAAAAATAGTATAACTTCACATCTCATGATTCAATTCATAATTCAATAAACTTATCTTCTCTAAAGGCCTCAACAGACGGTAGGATTTACTTGTACTGCACTAATTAGAGATAAGACGTTCACTTTTCAAAGCAATACAACACTTGAATTCAGACGGTAATTCTACACTGTAGGAATCATCTGAGGTTTCCCTAAAAAGGATTCCTCCCAATTGATCCTTTACATACTTTACTCACTAAATACTTTTTTCGCCATGAGAATTGATTGAAACACCTCCATTTAAATTGTTTTTTTAAATGTGAAGCCTGAGCGAGACTCAAACCTGAGACCCTCGGAATACTGTACTGCGGTTCTACTGACTAAGCTATCCGGCCTCCTACAAACTACCTCCCCTCCCCTAATTAGAGAACAGTTCAATACGGTGACATAATCATTTTCGGAACAATTTGGGATTCGAACATACCACAACTTTGGGTCTCCTGAAGAGTTTTTCAACATCATTTTTACCCCATCTACTACTATGTTTACCTTTTAGCCCTCATTGTTCTGGGATTTCATTCATTACACCCATTATCAGGAGATAATTTGGTTATCTCTTACTTGTCATTGTGGGAGGTCTGTAGAAATCTGTACGACAAGATTTTCAAAATAGAACATGTCCTATCCCTTACATCTAGACTTAAAGTTTCCGAATTTAAGAAATAGTAGCCCTCACACATTAAGATTTGCCTGTACATCTTAGTTTTAATTAGTGTTGTACTTCAAAATCCTACCTCTGTTGATGCCTTAAGGTACCACACAGAACGACAGAAAGGTTTTTCTCAACTTGACAAGGAAATTCAATTCACTCTAGAAATGTGCAGACATTTAAGTTTGCAATAATATGTATAATATGCTTTGGTTAGTACACTACCCCTATGTAATTGCGGTAATTAGGTCAGTCTCACTGTGATATTTAAATTGATATGAATTCCTTATGTAATAATTTACTAGAATTATAAAAAAAGTCATATGTTTTTCAGGTTAATCATTAATGCAATGCTTTTAATACAAATTACGTATTAATTAATGAAACCTCTTATTATTAGGAAATATGCGTTAAGATGTTACTACTAGCATGACACTTACTGGGGAAAGCAAATGAAGTGTAAGTATCAGTGCCATGTGGGCAGATTTTTAATTTATGTATAAACAACGTAGTTAATTATGGTGCAAATGAATCAAATACTTTTGTCTGTTTAAAATTAGCGCTTATTATAATATTATCATTATTGTCAGTGCTTTAACTTTCATGCTGGGCTTGATTTTTTTCAATTTTCTAGTTGTGCCAGGTTTTGTAGGGATTTCGATTATTATTTTAATTTTAAACAAAAGCCACTGGATTGTCTTTTTTAAACAAAACAATCAATTTAATTTATTACTCAAACAAATTATTTGAACTATTTGTAAATACTTAATATAAATAATGCAAATCCTCGTAATAAAGCAATTACATCTGTTAGCGATATCCGCAGATCAGATCGTCATTGTGGATAATTTATCAATGAAATAATTTATCATCATTGTTTATTTAAAATAAGAAATTGCAATCTTAATCTTATCTCTTTTCGTATTATTATTATACTAGCCAGCTATTTAACTTTAATGGTTGGCTTGATTTTCAACTTTCCCCGTTGTGTTCGTTTTTACAGGGATTTCGATAATTGTTTAAATTAAAGGTAACAGGCCGCTAGATTGTCAAACAAACAAAACAGTTACAAAATATATTTGCATTAAATTTTTATTGCAAGGATACATTGATATCACTGTTATGCGACATATTTTATTGATAAGAAATCCTCCCATACATTACCTTTTAAATTGAGTAAAACAATGCATGCTAGAGATTGAAAGTACTTACCGTATTGTGTATTCCTGTAAGCGCAACAAATTGCAAGTACCTCTAGATTTATTACCATCTTGATATTGCATGATTACTGCTTGGTAAACAAATTAATCAAACAAGATATTTATACAGATCTTATTCTAGTGTATAGGTCAAGTTTGATAATGCACATAAAACGAGTACGTATTTGTAGATATTTGATTGAGGAAACCATGTGTATTTGTAAGATTTGTCAACGTTTTAAGCTTCATTTATTTAACTGACTGTATGCAGACACAAGGTCACTAACTTTGTAAAACTGATCATTGCGTGAGCTCTTTTTAATTTTCTTTTCTATATCTTCTTATCCACCTAAGAAGCGTTCATCTTCTTCTTTGCGGCTGCCAATTATATGATGTTTGATCATTACTCTTCATTTATATTAAAAGTAATTTCGTGATAATGGGCATCATTATTACATTTAACATATCATCACCATCATCACCACCGCCATCATTATCATTAGCATCACCATCAACATCACCACCAACACCAACACCAACATCAGCACACCTCCACCATAATAAGAGTTTCGAAACGTTTCAACATACTATATGGTATTATATTTTAGTATGTTCACTGGCATAGAATTCATTTGAGAGAGGCAGCAAAATTGTACCTATGCATGCGGTATAACTAGCATATTTATATACCTGAATGACAACATTATTTAGAAACACGCCTTTAGGTAACTTCAAAGTTCATCAAAGATAAACACTTTTCAAGTTGCAACCGTTTATTATTATAGAAATATTATGCATGTACATTTTCTTTTTAAAATTATATCATCATGAACAAAGAATTTAATAAAAAAAGTGTATTTATGCTATAGTGTCATCATTCAACGGCATGAACGCACTCAAGTAAATCAGTTTTTAAAACATCTTGATGTTAGATGTTAATTCTATTTGATTCTGTATGTATTATATATATTTTTAAATGAACATTTACGTTTAGCCATAATCACATGGCGTTCGTCGGGAATATCATCCAGTGACGTAAACACTTATTAAGTCATGTTGATGACACTGAAAGGCCAACCTTCATCATTATTTTTTTTAAGATAACTTTTTTTTTCTCAAAATAGTGTCTTTTATGTCAAGTTCCACACAAACCTTGTTATATTAACACAACTTTATTAAACAATACAAGTTGATATTTTGGTATATAGGTAAGATCTTTTTTAACTTTGTGAGCTTTATCGAAACATTCTATACGCACATCACGTGATTCCGGATGATACTCAGTACCGATTAGTAACCATTTCGGTTTTTACATACTTATCTCTGTATAAAACAATGTAGCATGATCTACCAAAAATATATTCATATAGTAAACGTTTACCCTTCACTTAAAAACTTAACAGTTGTAAGATTAATAAAATCAACACTTCACTTTAAGCAAACAAATCAAGAAAATATAGAAGGGTAAAGACAACATATGTAAAACAAAATATAATGAAATATAATTATATTTTTATAAGGAAATAGTGTTAAGAATAAAAAATAAACATTAAAACTATTTAGAATCTTGGGTGGAATCCTTTACATTTTTTAATAACTTGTAACTTGCATTAACTGTAGTGGTTCCATTATTTATAAAATAAATTCTCATGTTTAATTGAAATATATAGTGTATATACATGTGTATGAAACTGCTATGAGCAACATTGATAAATAGAGATTGTGTTTTAAAGTTTTTAACTATGAAATTAATGAATTCACAATACCAAACAAGATATCCTGAAACTATTACTTTTCGAAGTAAATCAACTGCATTTACCGCAACAATAAAGAAAGAAAAATGTCTTTTTCAAACGTATACATGAAAACAAACAAAACAAACAGAAGGTCAGGATAATTCGCTGTATATTTTCCGGGAACACAACCTGAATAAGATAATGATACTGATCTATTGGATATGTTACGTGTTATATAAAGAAGAAATGAAATAGAGAAAAACAGAATCGCTAAAGAATGCCCAAGTTGCCTTACAGTTTTAATTTTTGCTCGCCCATATAGTCTCTTTCAGGAGGCGAGGGTAAACAAACCCAAACACACAAGCCTGACAGTTTGTGCTTTTCCATTTCGAATAAATTAATGTGTTTTTTTGTTCATTTAAAAAGGTAGGATAACAATTGCATAAGTAACAACAATCAGAGAAGTCAATTAATTATTATTAGAATATTCAAATACGATATATATATACGATAAGGACTATTTTGAATTTATAGTAGTTGTGAAAATACCAATTGTTTTCTGCTTTAATTGCTGAAATCAATCAATAATAAAATATATACGCACAATTAGTACTTACTATTTATTTTCTTTAGAACAACACAAAAGAGAAAGAGGCTGCCGAAAGTAACAACGCTAGTGACATGGCGCCGAATCCAATGGTTGTAGCTGACATGGTAAATAAAATTTTAATACATTTCTTTTCTTTTCATAATAGCAATACATTTTAAACGTATCAGTCAGCCATTTGAAAAAAGACATCGTTGCAATTAACTTAATGTGTTGAATTTCTTTACTACATATTTATTGTATTGTACTATGTATTGGTAAGAATGAAATCAAATGATTATCCATCCACCATTTTCTTGATAAGCAAGAACCAAAAGAAAAAAAGAGCACTGTACAATAATGTATAAATAATGCTTTAGATAATATGCTACAAAACAGCTATAGTCTTAAGTAATGTGAAAAAATAATTGATATGAATAATAATTTTTCATAATAATACTTACCAGCATTTTTGGGGTCACACTTGTCACCATTCATAATGTAGTCAGGCTCACATTTACAGTTTGATGTCTCTGTGTCACAGACGGCATTTCCGATAGTGTCACATGCTGTTTTATCTGAACCGCAATCAATCCCGCTGACAGCTTAATATTGTGTTTGAAAGATATCACAAATGAGTACATTGAGTTATATGAATTGTCTGGAGAACAAATAATAGTTATTTAAATCTATAACCTTAGTTTATAAGATTTAAAGCAATACTAGTATCGAATGAAATATTTCTATATATTTTTTGTAAAAGCTAAAATCACATTGTTTCCATTGTTTAATAGTCGATTCTCAATAGGGATGTAACATACAATATATCTGCTATGAACATTCAATAATATTGCACGTAAACTGATAACGACTCGCTTCGACAGCTAAGGGATGATTTCTACATGCATCTTTCGCCAATAAGGAAATATACGCATTTCTTTTATTCGGGAATTTTGATTTATTTCGTTTTACAAAATTTAAACATTTCTATTATAAGATTATTTTATTTCACATAAAATATTTCTATGAAGATTTACGCGAACAGTTGTACAAATTTTAAGAATAAAGCCCAAAGTCAAAGCTACTAAGTCGCCCATTTCCCTTTTGAGATAGCTAAAAAAGAATGAATTAATTTGTTGTGGCGCTCAAGTAAGATGCAGAGCGCAGTTTCATTTCTTAACTCTGTTTTATCTAATTGCAGCGAAGTTAATTATACGATTTATGTTACTGGGATATCAATCAAATGGTACAAAATATTGATTACTAGCATGGTATAAGACGCTTAATAATGCAAAATTATATATGTACAATGACAGTACATTAGTTATGAACGGTTTTGTAATACCCACTACATGTTTTTATATTTTTTTTCTATATCATATTATTTAAATGGTAGTTTGTTTACAGGATCTACTAGAATATGATAAACAAGATCAACAAAGAAAGGCGGTGTTCAATGAACGCAGCCCTCACACGACGTAGCAACAAGAGTCAGCGGCAAGGAACTCAGGAGTACCCCAAACTAAAACAGGAAAGGGCGCAAGGGAGAGCACGGACAGGCTTATCACTAAAACGTTACATGAGAAATCCCACTATAATTTTTTTTTTAAATGTTTACTTACCTTTTGAGCATAACCCCTCTTTATTGAAGTAGCCATCGTTACAAGTGCATGTTTTAGACCCATCATCTCCATCACACTTCGAATTAGTGACACATTCGTTTGTATCCGTACACGTTTGGTCTAATGCTAAAAAGTTAGTATAACAATATGAAGAAAACATTTTAGTTAAAAACGATTTTCAAGTAATTGCTGACCATTGTACCTAGATGACATTTAAGGCTCGTTGTTATGATAAAACTTGTTATATCTAATTGAGCTCATTGTTTTCTATTTTGGGCACTTTCACTCTTTTACTTGAGAACAATAAGTCATTTTTCAGGGAATGACATAAAGTTTTATCTTGAATGTTCTATAACTATCGTTTCATGGATACATGCGGATGTTTTTAGATATAAATTTTCATCAATTCATTTTTAAATTCTGAATTCAGACGGAGGATGGCAGCGTCAATCGAAACATGCATTTACAAATATTTTTCATGAGTCGACTCCATATAATCAACCTGGCCTTGAAATATATTTAATAGTGACTTATTGTGTTCTTTAGAGGTTCTGTGTTCCCTTTTTAACGTTAATAGATCATACATGCATAGATCATTGCCATGTTATTATATAGAGCCTTAAACAGGGTTATCCTTTTTCAAATGATATCTTGCTTCTCATGTCGGTTATGTTTCATAAGAAGATTAAGCTATGATAAGTTTTAATAAATGCCTTTATTCATTAATTTTCTGTTTGGGTTTACGTCGCACCAAGACAGTATATGTCAACTGGCAACTTTCCAACTTAACTTAAGTGAGAAAGACCTCAGGTGCCGGTAATGGGTAGAAAAAAAGATTTATGTAAGCTTCGCCTATCAGCAACTCCACCCCCACCCCCAATATATATATATATATATATATATATATATATATATATATATATATATATATATATATATATATATATATATATTTGCACACAAAGCCTTTTATATTACCAAATAATCAAGAATAAATATCTTTAAAACATACTGCATGCCATAATTAATGAAAAAAAAACAAAAAAAAAAAACACAAACAAAATTTTCTGGCTATTAAAAAATAAATATTAAGATAATATGCATATAGAATGTGCTTACAGGACAGATGCAATTAAATATTTTCCACAGTTTTCCTAAATTTGTTTCGTCGTTTGCAAAAAAAGAAAATGTGAATTAACCTTTTGGACATGCTCCATTTTCTTTTATGAATCCGTCTATGCATACACATTTGTCAGGTTTACACTCGGAATTGTCTACCGAACATTCATCTGTTACACCCGTTGCTGGTGGTGTACAGGTTTCGTCCAAAACTAAAACATATGAACGAATGTTTAATTTGTTTATTCACCATTATTTCGATACTAACATTTAAGCTTAATAAATACAAGTAATGAGATTTTAAACAATTATTATACGCTAAAATAAATACACTTTCTAGCATAAATTAACAGGTCGTTTTTAATAAAAGTGGTGGTCTGTCATTTTATTTCTGTTACCTTTTGCTTCGCCATCGAAAATTGAAATACTCAGTAGCAAAAAGCCAATCAACAATATTTTTCCTAGCGTCTGTAAACAAACAAACACACAATCAAATAAACAAAACAAAAATAAATTAATAAAAAATACAACAATGAAAAATAATTAAAGACCTCAATTTGAATATTTTTTATTGTTTTAAGTTAGAAAGAAACTAACAAATTTTCACCAAAGAATGTGAATATAAATTTCTCTGTAAAAACGTTAAAAATAGTTCAATGAGTTGATTCCGAAATTCACTTTCCTTTGTTACCCGTTACCACAAACAACAACAACAGCAAATTACAAATAAAAAACAAACAAAAAAAAAAACAAACAATTGTATCCAATTTGGATAGAGTTAAATTTATGTTGCCATTTACTTGAATATACTCGTGTTGTAAAACATTGAAATGAATGAAAATGTCTTGAACTGTTGATGTTGTTGCTTTTTTGTTTTTGTTTTACGGGTATAAAAAATATAAAAAATGAAAAATAAAACCTGGAAATGATTTGAAAGAGGTGTTAAGACAATAAAACCTTAGATTGATAAACAACCAAGTTTTTTGTATCATTCTTAATTGTCAGTACTCGTAGACCGACTTTATATGTACACATGCGCGAAAAGGCCGATGACACATGGTTTCTTAAATGCAAGATATTTCTATTAGGACCAATTTACTGATATTAGAATCAATGCATATCAATTTAACAAAAAAAGTGACGTATCATTTCATTAAATGTAGAGATAAAAATTCAATTAAACAGTTGTGGTTATAATTTTCATATGAAATCTAAAACAAACACTGATATGACTTTCAAGTTGGAACGAGTATTAATAGAAATTGGTCTACAAAAATATTATTATACACATTGAATTTACTTGATTTTCTAAAAACTGTAAATAAATCAATACCTGTACAATGCATGTAATGAATAATAATTTATACATTTGTGTGTGATGCATTGAACTGCATGTGCTATACCATTCTCTAAATCAAGCAGTCATAAAATTGTATACGTCATGTTGAATTGTTTTATCAAACTATGGTTACCGATGTTTACAATGTTCTTTATTTTTCTATGAATAAGAAAATGCAGCACTTCATGTAAACTTTATATTACAATCATAAAGTTTTCGATCATGATTTTCCAAAACTCTCAAAACGATAAATGTTAATATTAAGACGACCTTGTATTCTATATTTTTATTTTGCCACAGCGGGCCGTGAAAACATAGAGCATAACTTAATTGCACCAAATAGAAATTGTAAAAAAGCCTACAAATCTGGATTTTCTACAAAAAGCGTAATTTATATTATACAGGCCAATTTTGGAATAATTCGGTCTTTAAGTTTACAAGTAAAATTGCAATCACTTTATCTAAATGTGATAGTAATGTGGCGTTATTTGTAATACAGGGTAAGATTCCCCGCATATTCAGCATACGAATTAAAGTAATACGGCTGTATGCACAAATCGTTTGTCTATAATTAAATTTTTTGTCTTTCAATAAACGTTTTTCAAGGGATTTGTTCATCGGAAATGTCCATCTGATAAAAGCGTTTTGCAATCGTGCAAACGCTAATTTGCGTTTTACGTTTAGTTTTCATGTTATATCGCTTTTCGTGCATCTGCGTTTGTTTAGCGTTTGCCCCAGAACGTTTGAATATAGCGCGTTTGAAATACGTAAAAGCTTTCCTAAAAACACGTAATGAAGGTTCAATTGTCATAAATTACAACGAAAATCTTGAAAGAATTATTATGCTCTAATTAGATATTACTCGGTATCAATACGAGTATATATATTTACAATTACATATAAGTGTAATTGTAACATAAACATGTTCTCTGTAGGTAAACACATTAAGAATACATAGTACTTTAATGCACTGGCAATTATTTTCAGCAAGAACAAATCAAACTTGACATGTAAAAGGACATGCTTCTTCTTACACATTTGTTTTGCATTATATTATCCAAATTAGATCAATTTAGTAAGGAGTTCCTAGATTTCAATAATTTCTGCAATAAAATAAGAAACAAGTGGTCGTATTGCAGCATATAGACTTATGCAAACTATTTTCTATAATAGAACTTTTGCAGTACCTAATGTATATAGTTGTCTTCTAAGAAAAGTAAGGTTAAATTAAGAAGGTGTGATCAAATGACTTTAAAATATCAAATAATAAATTGTAGAACTAACACGCTCAAGGTTTAAAATATGTGTATCAAGAGTAGGTCATGAATTTTGAAAACTGATCAAATGACTTTAAATATTAAAAACAATTGTAGAACTAAAACGCTCAAAGTTTAAGATATGTGTTTCAAGAGTAAATTATGAATTTTATTTTAAACTCTTCTCACATATCTATCAACTGTCTGGTTGTATGTACGAGTTTTTGCAAGTTTATGGTCATTTTGCACAATAAGAATATTATTATTGATAAAAGAGGCTTGAAGCGAATAATCATAAGTTATTGGTTAATCAAATTTATAGATATCTCTTTAAAAATATATTTCAATTCCTGTCATGATCCTCGACTTGTTTTAATTGAAACAACTTTCATGGTTATCTTTAAAAATTGTTTTTCTGGAAAGGATAACTATATCACAATTGTATTGAATGACAATTGTGATCACAATATTATTTCATTTAAGGAAATTAATTTGAAATTTATTAAGAAATGCATATGTCAGAAAAATAACAACAACAAATTTGTTTTCTATTTTGACGCTACTAATTGACATAATGCTCATTTTGACTGCAGTATGCTTTTAGCCCGATGTAAGTTACCAGCAAATAAAATCTTTTGGTTTTATTTCATTTTGCACAATAATAATATTATTCTGAAAAAACGGAGTGAACGAACATGTTTACATCAAAACTGTATGAAGGTATCAAACAAGTGTCAGTTCCGTCATGTCAAAAAGAAAACAAAATCAGTGGAGTCAATCGGAGTTGCAGCAACTTGAAAACTAGAATCCAGTTTGGTTTTAAAAAACGTTATGTGCCACTGTTATTTGAGAAATGAAATTCACATATTAACATTGTTAATTTCCATTTAAAGATATTGAAAATGTTATTCTAGGAAAATGAAGCAATCTTTTCATGTTATGACTTTTGTATTTTTATTTTGTAAAACCTATTTTTTTCCATAAAAAAGGTACAAACCAGAGAACGTTTTGCCTCAACAAAATCCATGTATAAACGGAGAAACTAGCTTAAAACATGACAAATTTCAATAGTATCGATATCAAAAGAGAGAAAACGCCTTTAAAAATATATAATAAGTTACTAACCATGATGCCTTGTCCGCCTATGGATTCAATATGACACCCGATAGAATTTACCCGTATTTATACTTTACGTAACCAGGGGCTGTTCAAAACAGTCACATGACCAGCGTCGTAAATATTCAGCAAAAAGTTTGCAGTTGTTGGCATGAACTAATAGATTAAGAAGATTTGATCAGTTTACATTTGAGCATATGAACATATAATGTGATTAATTCCTTTTTGTTTTCGAAATATTGTTACGTTCTTTATAAGTTGCTTCCAAAAGTTGTGTTACTTTTGCGTTTTTCATACTAACACAGGATGTTCTGGTTCATTAAATCTTTACGGCAATGTAGGTATATCAAATAGCTAAATAAGCACGAAATTTAATTAATGCTTCAAACCACTTGATTTTATATAGTCATTAAATAAACATTCAGTATAGGATATCCCGTTAAACAAAATAAACAACCAAACAACCTTATACAAATACGAACATCTAGTAATTAATTAATTAAATTGAATGCTTAATTCTTTTATTATAAAAATTACAATTGAAAATAAGGAATCATAATACCATTGTGTTCTTTACGTATTGATAAAGATATTTCAAGTATATAAATAGTAAAATAAAGAAACTCGAATGTTTAACATGCATGGCCAAAGTAAACCGTTTTTCAGAAAAATAATAGTATATTTTTACCATGACAGCTAAATGATAGAATCTATTTATTCATATAAAAAATTCATACTAATGCACCCCAAGTGGTGACAATAAATATGCCATGAAATACGCGACAGTTTAAAACAAATTAATAGTTTAAGACAAAAAATAACCCCACTTATAAACAATATACATTGTAAATATCTTGGCAGATTTATCATTCATTGCCAGGACCTGTGTTAAAGCATATAATCAACCTTTGTATTAGTGACACACATTTCGTTTAACTTTTAACAAAATGCAGTCCGTAATTATATTATTTATTTATTTATTATATTATTTACCCCCCCCCCCACACACACACCAAAACAACAACAACAACAAAAACAACAACAACAACAACAACAACAAAAAAGACAAAACAAAAAAAAACAACGTACTAAATGTCTTGATTTCTAACTGTAACTTTCAGGAGTTTTAGGTTATCAGATTTAAAAGCAAGTTTGTTCTTAAAATGTTAAATAACGTCATTATTTTGAAGGGTAACATAGTTTTGTTTTTACAAAATAGTAAAACATAATAATAAAAAATTACGCCTAATATAGAAAACACGAAAAGCAGTGTCAATTTTTTAGACGAGGTACGTCCCCTGATATATTTCTTCTCTATAAATTTGCATAAGAAAATATTTCACAAAAAAGAAAGTACATTTCAACGTGATTCTGATGAGGGAAATGATGAAAACTAAATTATGTTAATGTAAATTATATAACAATTTTGGTGACACTCATTGTTATTATATAGTATATCAATCGATACAATGTGATCGCAGGCAGTGAAATCATTACACATTAGCTGCATATTGGGATATCAAAAAAGGTGAAACTTTGAATTAAGAAAAATAAGCAGATGTTCATGTGCATTTCTTGCATTTATTAGCACATTTGATTGATTGGTACACATGAATGTAAATGCATAAAGGTCATCAAGTAATGTTTCAATGCAGCAGTTGCAACCCAAATTTTAAGTGGTCTACATTTGTCGCATTGGTTGTTATATTTAAGAGAAGACTAAAGTAATCTGTATATCATTAGTAGCGTCAAAATTTCTTTAAGTGATTCAGATATCCCGATGTATAATGAAGACTTTTTCAATACTAACTATAATTCCTACCCATAGTTTGATTAAAAACAATATGGTTAACTATGGCAAATCATAGGATTTAAAAACATAGAACTTTAAGAGCAATGCAAGTTTTTGTTATCCAGTTTTACGCAATTTAAATACAAGAAATACTTGACGAAACATTTTATTGTTTAAACATATTTCGTTCTTTTCTGTATAGCCTGTCTTACAATCACAGGTACTATTTGTACATTCTATATCGACAACCCTAGCACCGTTTGTTTCAACACAAGGGTCTCCAATAGCTGTGCAAAAAAGGATGTATTTTAATGTATTATATATCTTTTAGAATTGCGATATTCGTATAGTAACAAAAGAAATATTTCAAGAATGCGTATTCGGCGTATATCAAAAAGCAAAATCGATGCAATGAGTGTAAGAATGAAATTGTACAGGTTTAAAATGTTTAATAAAGATATATTCGTACGGTTTAAGAAGTAGTATATTAAAAAATAAGGAATGCATGCAAAGGTGTGGAAAAAAGTAATTGATTGGATTATAAACAAGTCATAGTCGTATATATTCATAAATTCCGCACACAACACTTAAATGTCAAATTAACGTATAAAAGCATTAAATATTAAGAATGAAACTTATAAATCATCTTCAAAATATTTAACCTTGATTCATCTTTAAAATGCGCGGTTAATATTTTTTATTATTTTATAATAACAAATTCCGTCACCACAGAACTTTTAATTTTATCATTTTTTTGGTGGACAGTATTTTACGAGTAAAAAAATTCTTATGCAATTGCAAAATAAGTTACTCAGGATATTATAATCTGTTATGAGCTGTTTGTCTTGGTCCCCAAATATTTTTAAAAATATTTCAGATCAATATAATTATGACCAGACAATACTGCTCTTTTTTGAAGCATTTCACACAATAAGATTTACGATCATGGACAGCAATTCATATATGTCTGAAGAGAATAGATGTACCCTTTGGTTCAACTGGAGTAGTAATGAACAGACCAGTAAGATGAACACTAAAGAATATTTTGCCAGATGAAAGGTAGATCACAAGACTTAATTTTCATTTTTACACATAAATAAAGTTCAGCTACAGTAAAAAAACATTATAAGTGCAATTAAAATATTAATTGATATATTCTAGAAATATCATAATTCTTGTTACCACTTCATAATAAAATGTATATATTTTTAAAGAATTCCATTGGTAACAGTGATAAACACAAATTGACAACTGGTATTTGAATCGCCTTCAATTGTAATATCTCTTCACGGCAGTTGCAGAACAGATGAAAAAGAAACTATTAAACAGTTCAAAGAAGAATTACTGAAAACTGAGGAAGAAAATAAAAAGTGATATTGAACTTTTGATACAAACAAATTTTTAAATGATAACAGTTGCATATCTTGTTTATACAGGATTTTCAACATATGTATATTCATTACAGTTTTCAATGTTTAAAACATCAGCAAAAAACATTAAGAGCTTATATTATGAAGCAAGCAAAACAAACAGCTTGACTGATAGAAAGAGATAGATGTTGCAAGCTGACTAAATGTATTTTTAGCATATTTTAAAGGACCATTTGTTAAGTCTTTTGTGTCTTAATTCAAATAAAATAATTAAAAAGAAATCATCGCATTACTTTGTTTTAAACAATACTTTGTTTTCAACATTGTGCTTTGTTACATATATGATATAAATATTCACAGCACTTGAAACCTGCAATTAATATGAAATATCCGTCATAAATTTCCAACTCTCGCATTTTCAGTTGTCACCAAGTACACTTCTATAAAATAATTCAAACAGACAATGGGTAATATTGACTGTATGAAATAAATACTTAGAAATAATTTATAGTTGTGTGTTTTGCGCAAATATGAATAAACACCACGAAGTTCTTCAGGAGCTGAAAAAATCCACTCCATATTTGAGTATTTTATTACTTTAAAAAAAAAAAACAATTAAATATTTTATTATACATTTTCGCTCAATGTTGATTTATTTTATTGCATTCGACAATAGAAGATATTAAATATGACAATTTATTACTAGCTTGTTTACCTGGGTATCTCATTCATGACTGCCGGATTACAAACATATAAATAAAACAAAACTCCACTGTGTAACAAAGTATTGTTTCCCGGACGCAAATGTATAAGTGTGTGTCGAGGTATTGCGTAACACTAACAATCTAATTTATGAAGTGGTATTTCAAAAAGTTGTATCATTTCATAACAGGGTATAACGGATCTTTCTGTTCATTTTATCAGTAGCACAGATTAACTGTTTCTAATAGGTAATAGTAATGTATTTATTGAATGTCGCTGTTATCAACGGAGATGTTGCCCTTACAGTTTCTCTAATGAACATTCTCTAGTAATCCGAGTTACCAGTTTTCTTTTTTTTTTTTGGTAATCTCGAGAGAGACACTGTTATTTCTTTTACCTCTAAAAACCATTGTTAAGCAGTTTTACTAGAAACGAGCTAGAGTCAAGTTCGTAAGGATAACTAAGCAAGACTTAAACACACCTATTAATAATATGTGTTCATATTTTAACATTAAAGAATCATTTACTTTTCCTGCAAAGTCGTAGTTTAGTCTCATTAAAGTAAAAATAACACAAAAATCTGTTATACGAATTTATTTATATATACGATATAAACATCTTATAGATATTGATATTGAACAGCAAATGATAATACATGTTAATCCTTAATGCTACTTAGATTTGTTTGTTTGGGGCATTTGATCAATCAATTAAAGCATCATTTATATCAGAAAATTTAGAAACAATTAAATGATTCGCTTTTTCTCTTCATCGAGGAACCATTATTGTACCAATAAAATACAAAAAAAAAAAATACTTGGGCATGAATTCATAAACGAGGTGGCTGATATTACCGGCGCAACCATACCTTGAATATTTATACTATTGCTTCATCTCGTGTGCAAGGGTCATAAAAGAGCTGCACGATGTCTTTGGTTTAAAACATCAACGGTCTATTGACCAACCGCTAATTATTTGAGTTATGTGTGTGTATACTCATCGCTAAAATGTATGTACCTTACCTCTTTTCTATGCATATATATAGTGTATTCATTTGAGCATCAAATTATTCAATTAAAACATGTTTTATGAATGCTTATCGTTGGTTGCATTGATGTTTAAGAATGCCCCATCTCGCTGTATTTCATACTTATTGGTAATTCACAAAACTGAAGAAGCAA